TCGTCACATTTATACAACCTATAATATCATTTTCTACCTATAATATTTAATAAAAGTATCGATATTTATATTTTACCTAGAATATCACTTTCTACCTGTAATCGGTCACAAATGCTTCTTTACTTAGAAAACCCCAAACAACACATAAAAAACATATTTTCGATTATTGTAATAATAAAAAACTAGGGATCAACAACATACTTTCCGATTCGACTGCAACAACAAACAAACAAACTTCGCTTTAGAAACGCCTTCTGAAATGTAGCAACAATTACGCTTCGATTTCAAAAACTCATCCGTCTTCTATCTATTTTCAGAGGAAATTTAGCTACGCCCTTTATATTTTCACCGGATATGTTATTTATATTTAATCGATATAATACCTAAAGTGTCGATACTTTTATGTCAGGTGTTGATACTTTCGATAGGATATTTACCTATTTCTTTAAAATTATCGATAATTTATTACGCATACTTATTAAAGTATCGACACTTTCAACATATCCGGTAGTACTTTACCGGTTTTGTCATTTCGAGACCGGTTTTTGTCATATTTTTATCTATTATATTGTTATGGATCGATACATTTTTATAAAGTATCGACACTTTATAGGCGCTATTACTGTTTGTCTTTTAAATTCCAAAAGTGTCGATACTCATAATAAAATATCGACACTTTCAACATATCCGGTAGCACTTTAGCGGTTTTGTCATTTTGAGACCAGTTTTATCATATTTTTACATGTTATATTGTTAATGATTAATACGTTTTTATAAAGTATCGACACTCGCTATTACTGCTTGTCTTTTAAATTCCAAAAGTTTCGATACTTATAATAAAATATCGACACTTTCAACATATCCGGTAGCTCTTTACCGGTTTTGTCATTTTGAGACCGATTTTATCATATTTTTACATGTTATATTGTTATGGATCGATACATTTTTATAAAGTATCAATACTTTGTAGGCGCTATTACTGATTTTCTTTTAAATTCCAAAAGTGTCGATGCTTATAATAAAGTATCGACACTTTCAACATATACGGTAGCGCTTTACCGGTTTGATCATTTCGAGACTGGTTTTGTTATATTTTTATCTGTTATATTGCTATGGATCGATACATTTTTTATTTGTATCGACACAAACCGACAAGCTAGGTTTGTCGGTTGCTAAAGTTTTTAATATTTTTTCATAATTTCCACCTACACATTATTATTACTCAACATTTTCGGTAACGTTAAATCGATTTTATTAAATATCTTTTTATGTATCCGATCACGCCATATATTAACCATATATTAATCTGTATTTCTTGAGACAACCCACAATTTAGTGAGATTACAAACGGCAAATGTTGGCATTGGACGCTTGATGAATGGTCGACAATTGAGGAATCGGAGAAAGCAACGCATCAGCTTTTCTTCTCTCGTCCATTGTCAAACCTCCGTGCTTTTAATATTTAAACATATTCTTCTCATCATTTCATTTGACCCAAAAGCCACTCATTCATCTCTCTTTTCTCTCAGTCCTTTCCTTTACCTTACACGTTTGCTTTTCTTTCTCTTTTTTCCCGACCTTCGTAGGTGAGTTTTCTTTTTCCGTTTTTAAATTCAAAAATATTTCTTGTTTTGAATAAATTGGTATTTACATGGCCTTTTTGTTGATTCCAAGTTGAACCCTTTTCGACTTCTTACTCTTTGCCTCGAAACTCACTTTTGTTTTTGTCACGTGTGTTCTTTTGTTCTCATTTTCATGTAACCTCCCTTTTTTTTCTCCTTAAATTTTCCATTTTCTTTTGTGTGTCTGCCGTTAAAGCTTAGTTTTTTTTAATTTCCTGCTGAATGATCATTTTGATTGGTGTGTTTTAAGTTTTTTGGGTGATTCGAGTTCCTTATGATCTGCTTATAATCATTTCTTAGCTTTTTGGTTTTGCTGGATCTTGAATATCTGGCCTTATTTAGTATTTCTTTTCTAACGTTCAATGGTTATTGTTTTTTTACCTTTTCTCTTTTCATGATTCTGATATGACTTTTCTCTGGTGCTCTTCATATGTTGGTGTGTGTTGCAGTACATTTTCCAGGAAAGCATTTCCAAGAAAAGGTCTCTGATCTGGTCATTGAAATCGAGATAAATTGTTGTTTCTTGCTCTGCATACCATAAATTCATTTGAAGCTTCTTGTCTGCAAATGCTAAATTCATCAAGAGGAAGAAGCCAGACAAGGTCAACTCGATCGATGCCGTTTGTAGGTAACATTTCCTTTTCTAGTAACATTTTGTTTTTGAGTGCTACGAAATCCGAATTTCTAATACCACTTGCTTGTGTTCGAATGCAATGCTAATGATACAATATTATAACCCCTCCTATTGAAAAAATCCCTAATTTTGTTATTTCGTTGTTGGATTTTGTTTCTTGCATGTAGTCATGGAACCTGATCCTAAAACGAAGAGCAATGTTGTTGGAAAGATCCTTATGGTTGCTGCACTAACGGCCTTATGCGTTATCATGCTCAAGCAATCTCCGTCCTTCAGTACTCCCACTCATGTGTTCTCCATTCCATCTCTTAAATCTTCTTACGCTGAATAATTGAATCAATTTTATACTATATCTTCTCGCTATATTGCATACCAAAATATTGCAGATATCTTGATTTGTTTGATAATTGGACCAGACATGGCAAAATTTGTTAGTTACATGCTATTACTTGTCCGTTTTCCCCAAGTTAAAGATCCTTCACTTTGATGAGGGGAAGGTGGGTAGGGGTTGTTGAGGATCGAGTCGGAAATTGATGTCAGCTGAAGAGTTGAAACAAGTTTTTCTTCCATTCCACTAGTTAAAGATACTTCTTATGTATGGTTATGTATTTTTGTGAGGTATCCATCAGCAAATTATAGCATGTCCCTGTGCATCTTCCTTAATATTTCGATTAATCGAACTGATATCTTGATTGTTGTTAATATCATCTTCGCTTGATGAAAATTGTAACAGTTTCTGTTTTGAAGTTGTCTGATGTCTCTGTTCTGATTCGCTGGTTTTGTTTTTCCAGTTCTCTTGACACGAAGAAGAGGTACCTCATGTTCTTGTAACCGGCGGTGCGGGGTATATCGGTTCGCATGCTGCTTTACGACTACTCAAGGAGAATTACCGAGTATCAATCGTGGTATGTTTTTAGTTTAGGATATATGTAACAATCTCCTTTCTGATGCGGTTAGTCACGGTTTCAAGGAAGGAGTGGTTTCTTTTTCAGGACAATCTTTCACGTGGAAACATGGGTGCTGTCAAGGTTCTACAAGGGTTATTTCCTGAACCTGGAAGGCTTCAGTTCATTTATGCCGGTCTAGGGGATGCAAAAGCCGTAGATAAAATATTTTTGGAAAACGCCTTCGATGCTGTTATGCACTTTGCGGCAGTCATATATGTCGGGGAGAGCACGATGGATCCTCTCAGGTAAGTCTCCTTTATGCTTTATTATTCGAAGTATCTCGTTCCATGGTGCCTAAACTATGATGTTCTCGATGGTATGCTTGGCCATATGATTCGTAGGTACTATCACAACATTACTTCAAACACCTTGACGGTCTTGAAGTTGATGGCTGCTCATGGTGTTCCGACTTTGATATATTCTAGTACATGTGCAACGTACGGTGAGCCCGAAAAGATGCCAATCACTGAAGAAACTCCACAGACAAGTTGTGAACATGTTTAATGCTTAATCATATTCGAGATTAACGGTTGTAAAATACGGCAAACTGATATTCCTTTCGGAACCAACTCAGGTTCCTACCAATCCATATGGAAAAGTTAAGAAGATGGCAGAGGATATGATTCTGGATTTCTCCAAGAGTTTTGACATGGCGATTATGATTCTAAGGTTGATATTTTTCTCAACTCTCCAAGTGTTTTGAGAATACAGGCATAGCAGATTGTCATATTCCAACAATATGCTCATGTTCACGACTTTCAGATACTTCAACGTGATCGGATCGGATCTGGAAGGAAGATTAGGCGAGGCTCCAAGACCTGAGTTGCGTGACCAAGGATGAATTTCGGGGGCTTGCTTTGATGCAGCTCGTGGTATCATTCCGGGTATCAAGGTAAGCTATTCGTTTCACTCCCTTCACTTTACTCATCATCTTAAGTGCCTGCTTAGTTGCTTTCTAATGATTTTGATGAAACCTTGGTGCTTATTTGTGCAGGTGAAGGGAACTGACTACAAAACGGATGATGGAACTTGCATACGTGACTACATCGACGTTACCGACCTGGTTGACGCCCATGTCAAAGCTCTCCAACACACAAAGCCTCATAACGTAAGAATCTACAATGTCGGAACGGGGACAGGAAGATCGGTGAAGGAGTTTGTAGAGGCGTGTAAGAAAGCCACGGGGGTGGATATCAAAGTCGAGTATCTTCCCCGTCGACCCGGAGATTACGCGCAAGTGTTCAGCAATCCGTCTAAGATCAGGCAAGAACTGAACTGGACTGCTCGATATACCAATCTAGAGGAGAGTTTACGGATTGCATGGAGAGGGCAGAAGGCTCATCATAGCGGATACGATACATCGTAGATGGGCAGACCTCAAGCACCTCAGCTGTTTTTCTTCATATATGTTTTGGCGTAGAAATTAGCTATACAGAGCAGCGAAGTCATTCGTATCTATGCAATGATCATATTACTTTGATATTTGTCCTTATCAAGTTAGTCTCGTGATATTAATTAAAAAATATACACTTATTTTAATATTCGAATATACTACATATCCGTTTTAAGGTTTATATTCTAAATTCAAATAATATTATTGGTACATGTAATATATATAAAAATTAATATAATATAATAAATTTGAATTCAGATATCTAATTTCATTGTAAATAATAATAAACATTTAAATTCACATTATACTCGAAATTATTGGATTCTTTTGGGCCTAATCTATCCATCTCAATGGACCATTTGCTATATCCCTCCACTACTCTACCCTTCCCTCCCCGCTTGGGAAATTAAAATTGAAAACCCTAGCTAGGTTTATTTTTTTCTCTCTTCCTCACCGTTCGGCATTGTGAATCGCCAAAATGTCGATGTCAAAGAGTTCCAAAATGCTTCAGTTCATCAACTACAGGATGCGGGTCACCATCCAAGACGGCCGGCAGCTTGTGGGAAAATTCATGGCGTTCGATCGGCACATGAATCTTGTCCTCGGCGACTGCGAGGAGTTCCGTAAGCTTCCTCCTGCTAAAGGAAAGAAAAACCCCAGCACCAACGAGGAACGAGAAGATCGTCGAACGCTTGGTCTTGTTCTTCTCCGTGGTGAAGAGGTTATCTCGATGACCGTCGAAGGTCCACCTCCTCCCGAAGAGTCTCGTTCCAAGTCCGGCGCCGCTAATGCCGTCCCTGGCCCTGGTATTGGTCGTGCTGCTGGACGTGGGATCCCTACTGGTCCTCTCGTTCAAGCGCAGCCGGGTCTTGCTGGGCCTGTTCGCGGCGTTGGCGGTCCTGCTCCTGGGATGATGCAGCCTCAGATTTCTCGCCCGCCGGTTCCGCAACTCTCTGCCCCGCCCATGTCTTACCCTGGTTCTAGTGGAGGTCCTCCTGTGATGCGTCCGCCTGGGCAAATGCCACCTGGAGCTTACCCTGGTCAACCACAAGCACCTCCGATGCAACGCGGCCCGCCACCATCGGTACCGCCACCAGCTTTTGGAGTTAGGCCACCTCAGCAATACCAAGTCCCGCCACCACAATTTGGTCAGAGGCCGATGGTTCCTCCTCCGGGATCAATGATGAGAGGACCTCCTGGTCCCCCACCTCCGAGGCCTGGAATGCCTGCTCCACCTCCACCACGTCCTGGAATGCCTCCTCCGCCTGGAGCTGTACCTGTTTTTGGACCACCACGCCCCGGAATGCCACCTCCTCCCCAAAACCAGCAGCAGAATCAGCAGCAGTAGGAGTGCTTTTGATTTGGTACGACATATTTCAACTTCCAAGTGCTTTATATGGTCTATTTTTCTAGAACAATAGACGATATAAACTAGGACTAGTTTAGTCATTTTTGAAGTTGAGTCTTCTAAAGATGTCAAAATGCAGGTTTTCTTCATTTCATATGTTTGTGTAAACACTAAACTTATGTGGCTTTGCCGGAGTCTTGGGGAGAAAACTTCATTTGTGAATGTTTTTTTTTTAATGTTGAATTTGTATGTTTCCTTTAACTTTAATCTAAACTTTGTAGTTGTGTTTTTAAGAGTACTGGTGGCTTTATGACTATGTAGGGTTTTCTTTGAAGAATTTGTTGTTAGGCTATTTAATATTTATGAGTTGCAGAACAAGTTACATTCTTTGATACCCAGACTGATAATTTCTTCTCAAGTACCCGTGACTGACAGTTATGTCTAACACATAATTGTATGCATGTATTGGACATATATGTTTGCATCTAATCCTCATCCTTGATTGAGTTCAAGTAACATGGATTTTGGTCCTTGAGGAGAATCTATGTAGATAGCTTGGAATAATGTGCCCATTAGTGGTTTAGTGATTTAACTTTGCCTTAATTTTGTTATTTGTAGTTAATGGATGAATCATTTATCTTTTCCATGGATGCTGAAAAAAATTAAAAAGAAAAAAAAGACTATTTAGTACATTGTTTAGGTAATTCAGCAACATGTTCAACATATTAGGTAGATGCTGCCATGCTCTCGGTTTATATATGTTTTTCTTGCTTTTCACTTCATTTTATTTCTTGAAGTAACCATGCTCCATGTTCATGTTTCTTTAGGGTTAGGATTCTTTAAGGATCTTCCATGTGCGCGTTCAATTTTTTTTTTAATTTTTTAAAAACAACATTCTCATGCTAAACACAGTGGATACATACTCGTATTCTACTTAGTACTTTGTTTAATAGGGATCTCTGAAACATGTCCAAAGGAGTAGGTATATGATGCCATGCCATGTTCTCATAGCTTTAGATTGTTTTATTTTTGAGTCTTCATTTTATTCCTTGAAGTATTTGCGTTCAATATTCATTTATATGTAGGACATAATTCCTTAAGGATTTTCCTTATTCATTGGAAATTTCTAAAAGAAGTGACCACGTCCATGATGGACGTGTACTCTTATTTTAGACTTATATTTGCATTCTAAGAACATACGCTTTAGATGATTTCAATACAATGTATGCCACTTAATTATTGGTTATTTATTTGATTGTTGATGATAATATGGACATATTTCGTTATAGTTTTCTAATTTGTTATTTTTAATCACAAAGGTTGAGGTGTTTAGTCTTTTGTGGCTTTGAAGCAATCGGAGGAGGAGAGAGAACATACTCGCCATTTATTAACTGTTGTTCAATGATTGCCTAGAATCAAAAAGATAAATTGTGTTTGATTAAGTAGTCGGAGTTGTATTGGGGTTGTTATTTCGGTAGTAGTATGTACTGCAATGGGCCTGTTTCCCAGTTATCATTACTGTTTGAATATTTTCTAGATATACATAGTTGATCTTCAATTTTTTTATCGTGCAAATATATTTCAATTACATTGTTAGAAATCACCATACTTGCTTTTGCCTTTTATTTCACCAATAACAAAACAATAATTTCTTTATAAAAATAAATCTATTAATTTTTTCTTATAAAAATAGAGTTGGGTTACTTGCCTTTCAAGAATTACAGTATATATAAAAACCTTCAAGATTTCATTGCTTTTTCAAGCAATGTTAATGCCTCTTTTTTATTGGGGTGAATCCGAATCTGATAATTGTTTTTCTAGTAGTATTTTCAGTTAATTTTAGTCCGAAAATCTTAATTTTGATATTAACTAATTCAAACTCAATTTATTAGTTTTCAATCTAAAAATAACCATCTAAGATTCAAAATCAAAATACAAGTATCAACAAATTTTATATTGCGATCACAAAACTTATTAGATATCTCACGCAGCATGGCCATGGGTAACCTGAAAAGCGTTGTCCTCCCACTGGGGCTAATATTTTCCCTTCTGGCTCTGCATTTGGTGAGAATGCTTGGTTCTTTAATTATCATATCCATATCACAAACGATTTACCTTTACTTAATTCATCACCTAACAAGCCAAATCTGTTCCTGCATTGCAAGTCCACGAACAAGGACATAGGTGATAGACCAATGGTGAAGGGTCAAGATTATACGTGGTACACTAAGATAAACTTTTCAAGGTCGACCCTTTCCTTCTGCAACGTGCGGTGGGTGGGTCACAAGAGTATAACTTTCGACGCTTACAAGGCTAAAATAGACGTCGATTGGTGCTTGGAGTACCATAATTCTTGCATGTGGTCTGTCGGAGAAGATGGAATTTATTTCAGTAGAAATAATGCCTCTTGGTGGAATACGTACTATTAGTATCATATGATCTATCAATTTGTATTCTCATAGGAGATATATTGATTGGTGCGACAAATCCTTCTTGTTCATGTTTGAATATGCATGTATTAATGGATTCGAACTACAATAATTCAAAAAATATATATAAATTTGAGTTCAAAGTAATTCGTATGCGTTTATAAAAAAAATGAATTATTATTTATTATTTTAAATTTCACAATCATCTAAATAAACATAAGATCCTCTTTTCACGTGTCTTTGTTTTTAATGATCAATATTGTTCTCGAATTTACTAAAAAAATATGAATTATTATTTAATATTTTAAATTTCACAATCATCTAAATAAACATAAGATCCTCTTTTCACATGTCTTTGTTTTTAATGATCAATATTGATCTCGAATTTATTAAAAAAGGTAAGTTACTCCAAATGTTACTAATCTTTAGGATTTATATATATTTTAACTAGGGATGGGTATGAGAGCTGAACCCGACGGGTTTCAACTCGACTCGATCAGGTCGGGTTTTTTTTAAAAAAATTGGGTTCAGGTCGGGTCGGGTTTGAGTTTAGGGTAAAAAATATCCGACACAAAAAAATATAATTTTACCTTATATATTTAGAAATAATTAAAATAATATCCCTCTATATATTATTTTTTTCAGTTAAATCATTATTTTAATTGAATAAAAATAATTTTTTTTTATTATTTCGGGTTGGGTCGGGTTCAGCTTTTCTCTCAAAAAATGGGGTCGGGTTCGGTTCGAGTAAAGAATATAAATTTTTTAGATCGAGTCAGGTTGGTCGAAACTCGGCCCATGCCTACCCCTAATTTTAACATTAGACTTTGGTTTAGACTTTAATGCAATTATTGAGTTACACTAACAACATGATGACATGACACTTTAGCGCTCATGTAGTGGTGTTATGTGTTGACGTGAAAGTCAAAAGATTATTAATTTTATTTAATCTCATCATCTTCTTCATTAAAAGTAGTTTTTTTTCACATATTTTTAATTGTAGTAAGAAACTGTTATTCTTCAACATATCTTTTTGACTATCTTAAACACTAATGAACTTGTCTCATTATCTTCTTTTACTTTATAGGTTTATATTTTCTTAAAATATCTTTAAAACTTACAAAATTAACCAGAAAAAGACTATTATTTTTGTATTTGGCACTTTCTCATATTTCAGAGATTTAGGTGTGTGGAAATTCATACGGTGAGATTTTTTTTAAAAGAAAACAAACAACATACCTCATAACTAACTTCATTGGAGGAGTTTGAAATATTATAATGTTATGTTGGATGAGTTGTTATTGATTTTGAGTGAATTTCATAAAAAATCAATCCGGTGAGGAGAGAGAAATAAAATGCAAATGTTTTGGTGATGACTTGGTGCAAATGAAAGCATGTGATGGGTGATGATTGACCGATAACAACTACGATCAAAGGAATTAACAATTGTGTCAAAATAATATACAAACAAAAATTTAATATTAGAATTGAAATATTTTGAGATTAATAATAGAATGAATACAAACTCTACAATTTAGTAACATGTGAAGTGGTTTACCTTAGAAAATCATAGATATAATATGTTCATTGTTTTCTGCGTGTAAGAATAAAAAAAAATCAACGAAGATAAGTCTACTACTTTATTTATAGAATGTCATAATCTTCACATCATACATGTAAATGTTGTTTTATGTAAAAAAAATATTGACCACCATAAATATTATTAGAAATAGCATTATCAAAGATCAATAATATTATCAACAATCAAATCGATTTAGTAGGATAAAATATTAAATCTTAAAAAAAAGTTTATTATCAAAATAAGTGCTCAAACTATACCATTTTTCTCGAATAGGTCCTTAAACTATTTTTTGACTCATCTAAGTACATAACGTTACAAATGTTACCCATTTAGGTGTCTGGGTCATAACGGCGGTTATAAAAACTCCGTTAAGTGACACGTGTCACAATTTTAAAATTTAAAATTTTAACTTTTTAGAAAATAAAAATATTATTAAAAAAACTTGTATTCCCCGCGTGCCCCCTAATACCTCCCCTGCTCCCATCTCTTTTTCCCTTTATCCATGGTCAAACGGACAATCTTGTCATAACCATTTTTGAAAAATTTTATTATTTTTTAAAAAAAATTATGACTTTATTAAGAAATTTGGGATGAAGTCGTCATCGACATTTGTGTTAGGTATGTCAAATACCTAAAAACATCTTTAAAACAATTAAACAACTAAATCATTTAAAAGACAAAAGTTGGTCTGCGTTTATCAAAAGAAAATTTATTTCAGGATTCGAGAATCGATTATGAGTGGGGAAGGATAATCACCCCCACAGCGCCTAAAATTGGTACTTAGTCGCTTATACATTGTCATAAATTGTGGATATCGTGAATTTGCATCAATATTTAAAGCACGATCCTTTTATTGAACATTGAATAATTTATTCCGAATTAATTACTAGGAAAATTTCTTTAATGTGAAAAAGAAATTTTGAGATTCACAATCCTCTATCGGGAATCGGGAAAGATATCCCATCTATTTCTTATCTTGTAAAAGAATGTTCTCTCCTCGAATTGTTTTAAAATATTAAAACGAATAAAATTAATATCAGAATCTGTGTGAAATAATTTGTTACTTTTTCAAAAACAAACATAAATTGTCAAAAATTAAAATAAAAAAAAGAAAATCAAAATATTACTATCATTTTAATAGATAAATAAAAAAACACTTGATTTATTTCAAGTTCACCATTCGTTCAAATATTGTATTGAATCACACTACCTCTGTAAGGTGGTGCTTTTCACACCCATTCTACGACGAGTTTTCTTGAAAATGTTCAAACGAGCTACAAAAAATTTAATCAAGTTTGGGGGATATACAAAATGTTGACACAAGACTAATTCATAAATTAAATTAATGTGAATGAAATGAAATAATATAATATATAAATGTATGTAAACATGCAGGGGTTAAGGAAAATTAATTAAACATATACATACATATATGATATAACATAATAATAAAACATTTAATAACATATACATAAAAATAAATAAATAAATGTATGGTTTAAATCAGAATAATAAAACTAATATGAAACTAAATAACAAAGGGATTAAATCATAAAAGGATAAAATACTAAAGCATAAACATGTAATAAACCCATGAAATTTCATTTGTAATACCAAACAATGACCAAACTGAACTCAAATTAAAATATAAAATCTATAGCACAAACTAAATATTTATCATCTAAAATATTATTTAAGGACTAAAACAAAAGTCCAACAAATTCAGGAACCAGATCATAAATATTAATAATTTCACTAACATACAGATAAGGATCTAAATGAAATGAATCATGAATCAATAGCCTAAAAATAGACATTAAGCCAAATATATCTAAGAACAGATCAGGACTGAAATGAAAACTTCATGAATTCCATGCTTGATATAAAAACATCATCATAAGTATATCAACATATAGGTTAGGAAAAAATATAACAAGAAATAAAAGTGAGGCTCAAATCAAAAGAACACGAAACTTCATTAATAACAAAAACAAAACATTACAAACGTTGAAGGACCTAAAATGTTATTAGCCATTTTCTCAAAACATGCGGCTCCCACTTTCTCCAAACGATGTCGTTTGGCATCCAATATATATATATATATATATATATATATATATATATATATATCCAACATACACGTCCAAAAATGGCCTAAAAATGTTTAGGGCTCCATTTTTCCTTTGGTTACCTGCTATGAGAGACTAACTCTATATCTTCTCCCCTATTTACTCCTACCGCCGTGGAGGTAAAAAAATCTGACGCCTTAGATCGGTGCCGTAGACGGAGGCAAACCACCTCCTCATACCCGAAAGCCCTCAAACTATTCTCTTTCTTTTGTGATTCGGAGGGTTCCTTGACTCCGGCGAACGAACGATTACCCCGTTTTGTAAAAAAAAAGTAAGCTTTTTTCTTTCATTTCTCTCTCCTTTTTTGTTTGATCCCTCTTGTATTCGAAAGTCTCCCAAAATATATGCTTGCATGTTGATTTATGGTGGTCTTTTGGTGATAACAGTGGGTTATTTCGTAGGGAAATTATTTCCCTGCAT